TGCAGTCAAGAGGACTCATATAAAAATCTAACACATTTCCCCATACCAGCAGTATTAGGAAATGAAATTCAGTAAAACATAACAGAGAGAAACACCCATGATCATTTAATGCTTAAGAATACAGATACTGACGACTCCTGAAAACTATTGCTAAGAGAAATTAAAGAAGACCTCAATAAACAGAAATATACATTATATTCATAGATTGGAAGACACTATTTTTAGATTGTAAAATCCTTGTTCTTCTGAATAGTATTGCAGCTGGCATTTGGGGGGAGGTATAGTTTTGCAGGCGAATTATAAGTGGAAATCAAAGTATCTCAATTAGCCAAGATGGAGAATTAAGTTGGAGGATTTACTCTACTAGATTTCAAAACTTAGGTTAAAACTACAGTAAGTAAGACACTCTACTGGTGTAAGTAAACAGAACACAAATGAATGAAAGAGAAAAGAGTAGAAAAGTTACCCACACCCATATTCAGTTTTTTAATAAAGTCACCAATATGTATCACGGGGTAATGATAGACTTTTCTGAAAAATATCTGTTGTGATAAACAGTATCAAGTGAGAAATTATTAATACATTGGGGAAGTTTTTGGTAAAATGCAGTACAGGTGAAGGAAACAGCTAGTTGAAAGAACCTGACACAAGAGTGAACTGGAAAATATGGGCTGGGGTTTCACAGTAGAAGGGACGCTACCCGGGTGTGGCTCCAGCACTTACAGCAAGGGGGTCTTGGCCCATTAGAGACCCTCTCTGTGCCTCAGTTTCTTCAACTGCAAAGCAGCAGAGAGTTATATTTTTGGCACCAGTCAATTTTGAACACTAGAAGTACCAAAAATGAAATAACCATTCCCTCGAATCATGAGGGAGGTCAATGAAATCAGTGGGTAAAATTAAGTGCACACCTGAGTACCTTTCACAGATAGATTCCAGCTCCCACCTCAACTCGCTGAACCACAGTTGCTTCAGGAGAGGACGGTGCACTTGTGTGGGTGCTAACTCTCCGGGGTGACTCTTAGAATGATCATCTTGGGGACAGCACACAATGAGATGTATAACTTTTACCCAAACACAGAAGGACAGAGCAGAAGCACAAGGGTGTTTCCAGTGCACTGACTAAAGCAGAGAACTATTGGAAGACTCTAGAGTTGAAGGACTAGGCCCATCTGACCCCATTTTAGTCTTGTCCAGTTTACAGCAGAGACACGAGTCCTTGGGGACACATGCCTGTGGCAGCTGACCATGCACCTTGAGGAAAGTGAGAGGCCTAATTTTTAATTCAGTCTGGTTTTGAGTGAAAGCTAAATTCACCCTTGTTTGCTCATTGATGGGACCAATCTTCTCCAAGCCGCCACTTTCTAAAAAATAAATTGCATTGCTATAAATACAAACTTCAACAACGATGTTTGTTAGAAAATTTTATAAATACCCAAGCCACCTAACAAGAAACCAAAAAGTTAGCAAGAGCATTCAATTTCAGGAGAGTTCGGCCCAATAGAGCACAGTCACTGAGAGAAAAGATTCTTGAGTTGAAAAGAAGTGATCCCTTTTTGTCCTGGGACATCCTGCTTACATCAGTGGGTTGAGAAAGCAGCTGCCCATTCTAACAGATGGGATTCTCAGGTGGCACTTGTGGTAAAGAACACTAGCTGGGTAAAGAACCCATTAACACCCACTAGTGTTAATGTAGGACACGCAAGAGACATGGTTTTTTGTTTTTCTTTTTATTGTCAAATCGAAGGTCAAGTTTACATTTAATGACTTAGGTATTAACTATACACATACTAGTAAGTGCTAAGACTTAAAATCTTCCGATTCACTTGTGACTCCAGATGGGATCCAGAGAGGAGGTCTAAAAATCTCTTCTCTGGGTTTTATGGAGACTTTCTTTACCCTCCTGTGTTAGCCTCTTAAGGCACTGCATCAGCCTTAAGAGGGCAAAGGAAAGGGCGAAGGAGACACGGTTTTGATCCCTGGTCAGGAAGATTCCCTGGAGGAAGAAATGGCAAGCCACTCCAGTGTTCTTGCCTGGGAAATTCCATGAACAGAGGAGGCTGGAGGCCTACAGTCCATGGGATCACAAAGAGTCGGACACGACTGAAGCAACTTAGCACAGCACACAATCTGACAGACAGGCTGCTCTTGCCTCCAGATGGTGTCTGGTGTCCTGAAACACGTTAAGCACTCAGGGAGCCTTTAGAAGGGCCCAGCCATCACTTATGCTATTGCTCAGGGCATAGAAATGGTTTAGTTGAAAAAAGGTAGGGCTCTAGGAATAAAGTCAGGTCACAGAGAAAAAGAGGAGTATGAAATGGAATAAAGGCAGGATAAAAACAATAGAATTCTCCTACCTCCAAAATGCAAAGCAATAGCTTACTTGCCTTGATGAAGTGGTTTTTTTTTTTTTAATTTTAACTTTGGTTGAATAAATTTTTTAATGTACTTCTACAATGATGTTACCTTGAATGATTACGATCAAAGAAAGCTTCATAATATGTGTGCAGTGCCTGGCACGGTATCAGTCAATGAACTGTACCTGTTACACACTTCTGCTAGCATGGCAAAATTCATCCCCATTTGACCTCAAGTCAGATACCTTCTGTGAGCTTTTTTGGTTTCATCCTATTTATAATGAAGAAATTTGACACATTTTTCTTTCTCCCACAGAATGTCAGGCCCCAGAGCAACCGGAAAATAGATTCCCTTAAAGCCTTTGCTGAATCTGACACACCAATTATCATTAAGCATTGTAGTTGGAGGATTGTGTGGGGGTGTGGGGAAGATAAGCTTTCATAAATAGTTGTTCCAGTTTTCTTTTACCTTAACATGAACAAATGCTCAGTGGCCTGCTGTCACACCCATTTCACCCTCCATCCAGATTAGACCAACAGCTAACCTGAAGAGATGGATGCTATAAGGGTTCCCCGAGTCTCAGACTCACAAGACCCAGGTAGGAAGAGATGCTAGGGAAATGAGGAGTTGGTTCAGACCATCACTACCCAAGGGCCTGCCTGTATCTCTTTCTTCAAACTCAGCTTCTATGTCACTGAACCCAGTGCTTCTGTTCACTTTGGATCATCATGACCCCTGACCTATGACCTTGAACTTAACCATGCTCTGTTTCTGGAATACAACCACAGGTCAATGGCATGAGGAAAACTCATAGAGATGGGTCAAAGTGTGTGCCACAAACACTGCTCTGGAGCCCTGGTCTGTTCAATATGTGGGTGAACTGAATGAACACAGAACGATAGCACGAGGCTGTCAGATCTTTCCTAAACAGACAGGCACCCCATGTATTCAGTGGCTCAGTGGTAAAAGAATCAGCCGGCAATGCAGGAGACACAGGAGATGCGGGATCGATCCCTGGGTCAGGAAGATCCTCTGGAAGAGAGCAGGGCAACCCACTCCAGAATTCTTGCCTGGAGCATTCCCATAGAGAGAGGAGCCTGACGGGCTACAGTCCTGGGATCACAAAGAGTCAGACAAGAATGAAGTGATGGCACAAGCATACCATGTTTTCGAAGATAAACACTTCTAGTCACTTTGACAGCTTGGAAAGAGCTCTTGTGAGGCACTTATGTGAAATACATAAGTGAAAGTATGATGCAGTGTTTAGTAACATTAAAAAAAAATCAAATAAAAGAACCCAGACCCAGAGGAAGAATTCAGAAAGTAGGGATGTCAAATTTCAGTTTATTCTGTAGACAACATGCGGCCCAGCAAAGAGAAAAAAATGACATAACAACAGGATGCAGCAAAAGCACTGAGATGGAACAGAAAATATTTTTTAAAATTCTTTATTCACTTAGTATTGTACTCTGATTTTTATCCTACAGTTTTTAGGACACAGACTAAACTGGAGAAGACACAGGGAAGAAGTTTATGACATCTACAAGTTTGACATCCTTCAGTTGTGGAAAAGCCTTAAGATCTGTTTAAAATGATGATATTAAAAAGAAACAAAACAAAACAGAAGATGAGGTGATATGGTTTCTCCAGTAGTCTTGTATGCATGTGAGAGTTGGACTAAAGAGAAACCACCTGCCGAAGAATTGATGCTTTTGAAATGTGGTATTGGAGAAGATTCTTGAGAGCCCCTTGGACTACATGGAGATCAAACCAGTCCATCCTAAAGGAAATCTATCCTGACTATTCACTGGAAGGACTGATGCTGAGGCTGAAACTCCAATAGTTAGTCCACCTGATGCAAAGAACTGACTCATTGGAAAAGACCCTGATGCTGGGAAAGATTGAAGGCAGGAGGAGAAGGGGACGACAGAGGATCAGATGGTTGGATGGCATCACCGACTCTGTGGATGTGAACTTGAGTGAACTCCAGGAGTTGGTGATGGCCAGGGAGGCCTGGCGTGCTGCAGTCCATGGGGTTGCAAAGAGTCAGACATGACTGAGCGATTGAAATGAACTGAACTGATCTGAGGTGACTTTATGACAGCCCGACAGGAATTAAGGCCTGCTGGCAAAGTATTTCTCCCAGGAATATTTTTATACACAGAAGAATGAACAATGGGAACTCAGCTTAGATAGTTTATGGAAGGACATAGGTCAGCGGTATCGGGACGTGTGTAGACAACACAAGAGTGGCTGCTGAGGGATTGGGTGCTATCAGTGGTGATGTTCACAATGGTCATGGCCTAGGCACTTGGAAGCCAGGGGCCCCCAAGATTCCATGAACCCCTCCCCCTACCAGTTCTCTTATGGCAACTCCAGATGTTTACCTAGCACGCTGGGTCCCCCTCCTTCACTCCTGTCTTAGTCTGAGCCCCACACAGCACCTGTGGCTCTGAGCTCTGGCATCTTCAACTTCTTTTTGTGGTTGAGAACCCTCTAGTTGTTCCCAATAGTAAATCAGGAAATCCAGTTTGTGTCATCCCTTGGTGCTGGTGAAACCAATGTGACGCTGCTTGTTTGACTCCCCCATATCCTGGGAGTCTCCTCCCCACCCCTGGCTTCTACCTCTTCCACCACATGTCACCATGGCAGAGTGTCTTCCCTCTTTATCGGATCTGAGGGCAGAACGTACCCTCGCAGAAATCAACCAGGAGCTTCAGTTGCAGCTGGAAAAGTACAAGCAGGACTTCAGAGACCTCACAGAGAAATTCCTCATATCCCAAGCGACTGCTTACTCCCTGGCCAACCATCTGCAGAAATACAGTAAGTCCTTGGGGTCATGGTCACCAAGGCAATGAATGATCACTGTCTTCCATCTAAGAAACTAAGTCTCCCATATTGGTCTCCTTTTCCCTTTGTCATTTTGAATTCCATTCTGACCACGGTGCAGGAAAGGTAGTAGAGTGGCTCTTTTGCCTTCAGTTCCCTGAGGCTGGGAAAACTGAGGCACAAGAAGTGGAGGCACTTTTCCAAGTTTTTAGTGATATGTAGGGTAAGATTCGAGTTAAAATTCCAGACAGTGATTCCTGGTGCCGGCACAGGATTGCCTGTGTCTCTCAGCTGCAAACTGAGCTGTGTTGACTGGAATCTTTTCTGTTCTGTATCTGATCCTGCACACCTCTTGGCTAAACCTCTGGGACTTCATCGGTTTGAGGTTCCCTGAGGTTCCACTGGCAAAGCTCTGTGCTATTTGCACTGGGGTAATGCCTGGTTACACACTGTGAGAAGCAGGGGATATGATTTAAAGGAGCTTAAGGATGAGTCTGCTTCTCACTGAAACCATGGTCTCTGTGAGGCCATCAAGACAGGGACTTCCTGGTGAGAAGGAAGTCATGCTTTCTGAGTGTGCAGGTTCTCCTTTCTGAGTACAAGAAAGCCATGTGACTCTGTGGCAAGAATGAAGGTGTTTCTTGTTAATCAGACAATCTGCACTTTCCCCTCTCTCCCCACTTGAGCTGGTGAAACTTTGGTGACTCAGGTTGACCAGGAGTCCGGGGGACCCTGAGTCTATGCTATAAGATCTGTGACCAACATGAGGATGATGGTAAGTGGGGGCAGATCACCAGCCCTAGTAAAAACCCAACAGAGTGTGAGGAGGCCCTTTGCGCCCACAGTCAGCCGGCAATTGGAATCATTTTTGCCTGTTCAGTAAGAGGGGCCTGGAGTAAGGAAAGAAATCATGACCAGGGTACTTGCACAACAAGGGGATGAGCAGAATCTTGACAACCTGTGTCTGTGTCACTTTCCTACAGTCATTTTCAGTGAAGCGATGAGGGAGTCAATGAAAAATGACTGACACAGAGAGCCGTAAGTGGTAAAGCCTACTATTTAAGAAAGTGAAATGATGAGCTTTGGGGAAAGGACAAACTACGTTTTATTTACACCGCTCCTTGTAATAGTCACAAAATTCTAGGAAAGAAATTGGGAGGCTGGTGAAGAAGAAATGTCTCACCAGGACTCTGGTGGGAGGTCACCGCAGCACAGTGTGAAAGACGTGGACTCTGGGCCAGGCTTCCCGGGCTCACATCCCTGTTGGGAACCTTTCTGTGTCTCGGTTTCCTCCTCTGTCCGTGTGGTGCTGTAATAGTAACTCTTGTTTGAGTTGTAGTGAAGACTGAGTAAATCTGACAAAGCCCTGACAGCAGTGCCTGGCTGAGTGTAAATACACTTAGTTCACAGTTCTACTGTTCCTAATGACACAGGCTTCCTCAGGGTTTGGGCCTATCTCTTTCAGGTCCTTATGGTGTCACGTATTCTATTTCACACCAGTGTGTCCAGGTGAGGTTTATACTTGAGACACTCGTTCGTTACTGAGATCCCAGCATGAGGAGACTGGAGAAGGAGTTGCACCCACCACTGAGGTGGCCCATCCTCCTCCCTTGAAGGCAGTGACCACAGCAGCAATGCTGGCTTTCCCTGAGGCACTGTCTCTCTTTCCGCAGAGTGTGACGCATGTAAGGACATCGTTGAATCCGTGCTGGGGGAGAAGCTGCCGGGTGAGGCGCGGAGGCCAGCAGAGAAGCTGGCAGAGAAGCCAACGCTTGACGAAAGGTTGAGGTAAGGAGGGCAGGGATGTTCATGGCAGACACAGGGCACACTATGATAAAATAGGTGCAGAACACCAGGTGGTGAATTATGGACTCCAGTTGCTCTTCAGGAGGTAATTTACTTTGCTTTTAAATAAACGAGTGACTTGAATCTCATCAGGAAACTCACTACATTCAAGTGAACCAGTGGCACTTAGCTCATTGACAATGTTGTGCCATCGGCACCTTATTTGCCTTTAAATCACAACCGCCTCCTGACTGACTGCATCCTGGAATGCTTTCTTGACCCTGTCATTCTTCTGTTCTTCCCAGTTCACACTAGCAATACGTGTCCACATTCCCTATCTGGCTGTGTGTCCTTCACTGGACAGTACTTTGTGTTGCCACATTAAAAATACAGACAATAAAAAAATAAAATAAAAGTACAGGAAATATTTTGTGTATTTTTTAATGAAAATGGGCATGGCTGAGTGAGGAACTGAAGAGACATCTTCATGATGCAGATTTAGGAAGACATTGATGCATGCATGTGCACTCAGTAGTGTCTGACTCTTTACGACCCCATGGACTGTAGCCCACCAGGCTCCTCTGTCCATGAAGTTTCCAGGCAAGAATACTGGAATGGGTTTCCATTTCCTTCTCCAGGGAATGTTCCCGACTCAGGGATCAGACCTGCATCTCTTGTGTTTCCTGAATTGTCAGTCACGTTCTTTACCAGCTGAGACACCAGGGAAGCCATTAGCTTACCTTTACAGAAGGACAAGATGAATGGAATGTCACGGAATCTTACAGGAGTACTGTCTGATACAGAGGAAACCTTTGTCTCCCTTCTTTCTCTTTGACATAGGCCAGTCATCAGATATGGAGGAGGAAATGGCAACCCACTCCAGATTTCTTGCCAGGATAAGCCAATGGGCAGAAGAAACTGGTGCACTATACTCCATTTGATCGCAAGAGTCGGACACAACTGAGTGAGCGAGCCAGTCATCAGATATGTGCCGGAATTCTGTCTCGAGGTCTCCTTGGGGATGTTCTCACAGAAATCCCTAACCGTCTTTCATCTAACTCTTTGCCTTTTACAATTGTGTCTTCTGTTCCACCTAGAACATGTGACATCCTAATTCGAAGTCAGGCACGAGAGCTGACCCAGCTACGGCAGACACTACAGAACGGGAAAGATGACTCTGCCCTGCTCAAGCAGCACCTCAAGGACCTCCTCACCCACAGTGACCTGGACAAGCACCAGAGACAGGGCTTCCGAGAGAGCCTGTCTGAGGGATACCGCTTGGCAGAGCGCCTTGCCTGCAAGCTCAGCCCAGGTGAGGGGGCCACAGACCCTGAGAGCACTGATCCTCTGCTAGGTCCCCAGGTGATAAGATGAACACCTCCACTAGGAATGTTTATCAGCTTTCCTGTTTCATATCCTATTTGGGGCTATGTAGGAGCAGGATTGTCTTAGTAAGAGGACAGAGGAGAAATGCACAGGGTGGAGGCCATCGTATCCCAACGGTCTGCTTCCTCCCTGATGGACCATGGCCACTGGGGCAGGAGGCGACATCCAGCCAGCATTGAAGCGCAGAAAGGAGGAGGTGACAGGCAGCTTGGTAGAGTGAATAGAGCCCTCGATGAAGCTTGGAAGTTCCCAGGTTCCAGGCTGAGTGCTGTGTTGATAACTGTGTGAGAATGTTTGCTTTTCCTTATGTTAGTAACTGTTCTCATCTGTAAATTGGATGAAATAATCTGTGGATGGCAGCTCTAGTGATGAAATTTGGGAATATTTACAAATACACTGCAGAAAAGAGAAAACCCTTCACTTTGTGGTGTTGGATAAGGTACTTGATAGAGTTGGACTTGGTGTTGGGAAAATGGTTTAAACTGGAGTACTCACTTTCCATGGAGAGTTTCCCAGATAACACACAAAAGCTACCTGAAAGAGCCAGGATGTTCCCAGATGGAGGGATGTGGGACATGGTTATTCTCCTTAGAGAAAGAAGGGCATCTTGTGAGACCTGAAAAGCTTTATGGAGCCTGTGTCTTTGGCAGAATTTGTGGCAGGATGATGATACATTTGTAGAAGTGGAGATGGGAGGTGGACAATGTGAGGTGATATAAGGAAGAACAGGCAATTTAGATGTTTGCCCAATTTCAAGCAGAAGGTGTCCTGAGGATGATCTACCAGTTTAGGAACAGACTAGACTGCCTGTTGGATCAGAAATCCATGCTTGGGCAGTTGTTTAAAGACAATGCATGAAAACTCCCGTACAGTACTGACTCACACATAGATATTTATGACTCTGTGACCACATGAGTCCCTGTGCCTGTAGTGGGTGAAGGGACTAAAAGCTGACTGGGTATTTCTGATTCTGTTTGAAGAAATCGATGAAGATGAAGATGACGAACAAGCACAAGAAACACCAACCCCCAGGTAACGGTTATCTATCAGTTCAGTTCAGTCCCTCAGTCGTGTCCGACTCTTTGTGACCCCATGGACCGCAGCCTACCGGGCCTCCCTGTCCATCACCAACTCCCGGAGTCTGAAACTCAGGTTTATTGACTGACTCAGTGTTGCCATCCAACCATGTCATCCTCTGTGGTCCCCTTCTCCTCCCGACTTCAATCTCTCCCAGCATCATGGTGTTTTCCAATGAGTTGGATCTCCGTATCAGGTGGCCAAAGTATTGGAGTTTCAGCTTCAACATCAGTCCTTCCAGTGAATCTTTAGGACTGATTTCCTTTGGGATGGACTGGTTGGATCTCCTTGCAGTCCAAGGGACTCTCAAGAGTCTTCTCCAACACCACAGTTCAAAAGCATCAATTTTTCAGTGCTCGGCTCTCTTTATAGTCCAACTCTCACATCCATACATGACCACTGGAAAAACCATAGCCTTGACTACATGGACATTTGTTGGCAAAGTAATGTCTCTGCCTTTCAATATGCTATCTAGTTTGGTCATAACTTTTGTTCCAAGGAGTAAGTGTCTTTTCATTGCACGGCTGCAGTCACCATCTGCAGAGATTTTGGAACCCCGCAAAATAAGTCTGCCACTGTTTCCTCTGTCTCCCAATCTCTTTGCCATGAAGTGACGGGACCAGATGCCATGGCCTTAGTTTTCTGAACGTTGAGCTTTAGCCTACTTTTTCACTCTCCTCTTTTACTTTCATCAAGAAGCTCTTCAGTTCTTCGCTTTCTGCCATAAGGGTGGTGTTATCTGCATATCTGAGGTTGTTGATATTTCTCCTGGCAATCTTGATTCCAGCTTGTGCTTCATTCAGCCCAGCATTTCTCATGATCTATTCTGCATGTAAGTTAAATAAGGAGGGTGACAATATACAGCCTTGACATACTTCTTTTCCTCTTTGGAACCAGTCCATTGTTGCATGTCCAGTTCTAACTGTTGCTTCCTGACCTGCATACAGATTTCTCAAGAGACAAGTCAGGTTGTCTGGTATTCCCATCACTTTCAAAATTTTCCACAATTTGTGGTGATGCACACAGTCAAACAGAGAAGGCAATGGCACCCCACTCCAGTACTCTTGCCTGGAAAATCGCATGGATGCAGGAGCCTGGTAGGCTGCAGTCCATGGGGTCGCTAAGAGTCAGACACGACTGAGCAACTTGATTTTCACTTTTTTCCTTGATGCATTGGAGAAGGAAATGGCAACCCACTCCAGTTTTCTTGCCTGGAGAATCCCAGGGATCGGGGAGCCTGGTGGGCTGACATCTATGGGGTCCCACAGAGTCTGACACAACTGAAGTGACTTACACAGTCAAAGACTTTGGCATAGTCAATAAAACATGAGTAGGTGTTTTTTTGGGGGGGAAGTCTCTTGCTTTTTCATTGATCCAACGGATGTTGGCAATTTGATCTCTGGTTCCTCTGCCTTTTATAAAACCAGCTTGAACATCTGGAAGTTCATGGTTCAGGTATTGTTGAAGCCTGGCTAGGAGAATTTAGAGCATTACTATACCAGCAATGTGAGATGAGTGCAATTGTGCAGTAGTTTGAGCATTCTTTGGCATTGCCTTTCTTTGGGATTGGGATGAAAACTGACCTTTTCCAGTCCTGTGGCCACTGCTGAGTTTTCCAAATTTGCTGGCATATTGAGTGCAGCACCTTCGCAGCATTATCTTTTCGGATTTGAAATAGCTCACCTGGAATTCCATCACCTCCACTAGCTTTGTTTGCAGTGATGCTTCCTAATGCCCACTTGACTTCACATTCCAAGATGTCCGGCTCTAGGTGAGTGATCACACCGTCATGGTTATCTGGATCATGAAAATCTTTTCTATATAGTTGTTCTGTGTATTATTGTCACCTCTTCTTCATGTCTTCTGCTCTGTGAGATCCATATCATTCCTGTCCTTTATTGAGCCCATCTTTGCATGAAATATTCCCATGGTATCTCCCATTATCTTGAGATCTCGTCTTTCCCATTCTATTGTTTTCCTCTGTTTCTTTGCACTGATCACTGAGGAAGGCTTTCTTATCTCTCCTTGCTATTCTTTGGAACTCTGCATTCAAATGGGAACATCTTTCCTTTTCTCCTTTGCTTTTCACTTCTCTTCTTTTCACAGCTCTTTGTACTGCCTCCTCAGACAGCAGTTTTGCCTTTTTGCATTTCTTTTGCTTGGGGATGGTCTTGATCTCTGTCTCCTGTACAATGTCACAAACCGTCGTCCATAGTTCATCAGGCACTCTATCAGATCAGTCCCTTAAACCTGCTTCTCACCTCCACTGTTTAGTCATAAGGGATTTGATTTAGGTCATACCTGAATGGTCTAGTGGTTTTCCCTACTTGCTTCAATTTAAGTCTGAATTTGGCAGTAAGGGGTTCATGATCTGAGCCACAGTCAGCTCCCGGTCTTCCTTTTGCTGACTGTATGGAACTTCTCCACCTTTGGCTGCAAAGAATGTAATCCATCTGATTTTGGTGTTGACCACCTGGTGATGTCCATGTGTAGAGTTTTCTCTTGTGTTGTTGGATGAGGGTGTTTGCTATGACCAGTGCATTCTCTTGGCAAAACTCTATTAGCCTTTGCCCTGCTTCATTCTGTACTCCAAGGCCAGATTTGCCTGTTGCTCCAGGTGTTTCTTGACTTCCTACTTTTGCATTCCAGTCCCCTATAATGAAAAGGACATCTTTCATGGGTGTTAGTTCTCGAAGGTCCTGTAGGTCTTCATAGAATTGTTCCACTGCAGCTTCTTCAGCATTACTGGTCAAGGCATAGATTAGGATTCCTGGGATATTGAATGCTTTGCCTTGGAAACAAACAGAGATCATTCTGTTGTTTTTGAGATTTCATCCAAGTACTGCATTTCGGACTCTTGTTTACTATGATGGCTACTCCATTTCTTCTAAGGGATTCTTGCCCCACAGTAGTAGATATAAGAGTCATCTGAGTTAAGTTCACCCATTCCAGTCCATTTTAGGTCGCTGATTACTAGGATGTCGACGTTCACTCTTGCCATCTCCTGTTTGACCACTCCCAATTTGCCTCGAAACATGGACCTAACATTCCAGGTTCCTATGCAGTATTGCTCTTTACAGCATCAGACCTTGCTTCCATCATCAGTCATTCCATCATCAGTCACATCCACAACTGCCTGTTGTCTTTGCTTTGGCTCCATCTCTTCATTCTTTCAGGAATTATTTCTCCAGGGTTTGAAGCCACATCTCTGCATTGGCAGGAGCCACTCAGCCTCCTGAGCCACCGGGGAAGCCCTTAATCACTTGACTACTTCATCTTAAATTCAACATGGCTTAGGACCTGTGTGGAAGCACTTGGCGTGGAAGTTCATCTGTGCTTCCTGTTCCTGAAAGTACCATCCTGGGATGGTTGAGGCTCCTTCCTCATCAGAGCTTTGTGGCCAGTCTGTTGGGTACCTGCTTGACCCCCCCTCCCATCCCCAGACAGACACACTCCTCTTCATATAAGAGAAGACACTTCCTTTTGTCTTGAAGGGGTCTGCTCTTGTACTCTCTGTGACCACTCGCCATGCCTCCTGTCAAAACCACCCAGCATGGCTTGGGGTCAGATCTGCTTCATTTAATTTTCTGTCATTCCTTTCCCATCTGGCACAGCATGGAGCTGCAGGAGGTTGAAAAGAAGGAAGTGCATGAAGAATCCAAGGATGAATGTGTTTTGATGCCTTCAATTCTCCAAGGAATTCCTGATAAGCACCAGCCTTACAGGGATGACAAATTTAACTCTAATGAACTGGAAGTAGACGTTGATCTGGATGGACCATGTGGTTGCTGTCATGCTAAAGAAGATGAAATTCCAACCAATATCTCAGGTAGCCCCCATATTATTTCTCCCCACAAGCTGTGTAGATCAAGGAAGGTTATCACTTAGGACAGGTTGTATAGACACATCTTAGTTGAAAGCAGGGAAAAAGCTCTATTATGGAACAGAGATATCAGGTCGGTCAGGGAGCTTTCATTCTTTTCTTGGCTCCGGGCTTGCCTCTGTCACCCTGACCCCAGTGTCAGGCATTTGAGCCAAATCAGTTTTGACAACTCTCACCCACCTCAGCTGGAAATCCACAGGAGGTATCTGTCAGAAGGAGTTTGGAGCCAGTGTATTGTTACTTGCAGTGATCTAATTTTTGTAAATGTTCCTGGCCTCCCCAGAAATGACTTGCCTCTTTATAAGGAGAGGTGATTTCCAGGTTTTGTTTTAACGCTCTCAACCCCAGGCTCCCTTTTCTCGATGTTGGCAGGTCTTAGCTAAGATGTTATCTGACACCAAGAGAGACACAACCGAACCATAGCCTCGCTTGGATGTTGAAGCAAGGCTGGGCTCTGGCAGTTCCTCCAGCTTCAAATGGCCATGGTTTCTGTGTAGCACCAAAGATTCTTTTTGATTTGAGGGTTACTACAATTCACTGTGCTATCCTGGTGGCTCAGATGGTAAAGAATCTGTCCGCAATGCAGGGGACCCAGCTTCAATCCCTGTGTCATGCAGATCCTCTGGATAAGAGAATGGCACCCACTCTAGTATTCTTCTGTGGAGAATTCCATGGCCAGAGGAGGCTGGTGGGCTGTAGTCCATGCGGTCACAAAGAGACGGATTCTACTGAGCGGCTAACGCTTTCACAATTCACCCATCACTCTACTCCCAAGTATAAATTCCTCTAAACCATCAACAACCACATAATCTGATGGGACTAAGCAGTACTATAGAAATAATTCTAGAAAATAACTCAGCTCATGTTCCAGCATCTCTGTGGAAAATACGTTTTTAACTGCTTATACAGACTCAGAACAAAGGATGTTGGGAGAGATACCAGATCAAGCAGCAAATTTCCTCAATGGCTCTGGAAGCAGTCCAGTCTAATTCTCATAAGACTTAAGTGTCCTAGAATAACTTTGCTAAAGAAGTATGTTCTTACAATGAGAATATTAAAGTCCTTGTTGTATATGTGATTACTGAATAGATATGTGTGAGGTCTGATTTTCTTATTATGACTGGCTGTCTCTGAATTTCTTACTAGAGAATGAAAATGATCGCAAGCAAGTGAGTGGACAAGAGCTCACATTTCCCAGGTAATTTGAAGATCTGTGGGCTGTGAATGTCAGGGGTGACAGCAGGAGACGTCAGATCCAGAGAAAAATAGAAAGCAGTCTATGTAATTCTTTCATCTATTCATTCAACAGCAATTATCTCTTTAACAACGTTGTCTATTTATGTTTCACAAGTTTCTGCATTTCAATATTTAATCCTTCAAGTTTAGTAATGTACAGTGAGTTGACCCAGGTGCAATAACCAAACCTAGGAGTTCCTGTGTTCATGTGCTTTCTCCTGAGTGGTTAATGTAGGGTGAGATCCTATGGTCTTACACTGGTTTGGCATCAGCATATTGGCAAATATTGGATTTCAGGGGAAGAAAATAGAAAGATATTCATATTACAACAAAATATTGAAAAAATAGTTCTTGAAGGCAGAATATCTAGTCTATAACTCCTTTTTCTTCAACTCTGAAAAACTGATTTGGAATGTATATTTGCGCAAATTAAATTTTTTATATTGAATGGAATAGAGCCTAAACACAAACAAATTTTTAACAGCTGTGTTCACTTGGACACAGGATATCCAGATCAACACAATGTGAGCAGATAAGTTTGAACTGCTGTCTCAGTCCTATGTGCATGCTAGGGGTCATGACGTTAGCATGCAGGGAACATTCCATCTCCTACTTCAACCACCGGTGGTGTGTCCAGTGCCCAGAAAACCTGCTGTCTCTCTCCCACCTCAGGGCAGCCACACTCTGCTCCACATTAGGAGGAGTTACTTCCCTCCTTAAGGGGGCTGCCCTTTTGCTTTCTGTGACCACTCTCAATGCCTGTCATCAAAACCAGCCAGATAGCTTGGAGTCGAGTCCTCTTAATCTTCTGTCCTCCCTTCTCCATCTGACACAGTGTGAACGTGCAGGATGTGGAAAAGACGGTGGTGTTCCCAAAATCCCAGGATGAATGTGTTTCAGTAGTTTCCACTCCCCAGGAAGGCTTTGCCTGCAACCAGCCTTACAGTGCTGGGAAAGTTGCACTTGATGAAGCGAATGTGGAGTCTGCCGTGGATGGAGCCTGTCGTTGCTCTCAGGCTGAAGAGGATGAAATTCCAACTGGTCTCACAGGTAGTCTTCATTACATCTGTTAGTCTACTCCTAGAGAGTTAATCCTCTTTAATAGACCCTATGCTTACATCCTGAGGCCTCGTTTGAACCAGACTCTATTATTCCATTTAAAACAAGACATTCTATGAAAGAACTTTTCTAAGTTCACTGTCATGGGTGTCCCTGTAGTAAACCACTCTACGCAAGGTGATTCATCCAGACTCACGTGAACCTCAGCAGCTGTGGCACAGGAGGTACCGTTCAGGCTTCCTGATATTGAGTGAACCTCTTATCTCACATGAAATGCTTTAATTTTCATTTCTGGGTAATGTCCCTAAGTTCCTACACCTGTCCAGGGCTTTTGGCAAGGTATAACTTTGGAGATGTCACTACTTTGGTTCACTCCTATCAACCCATAGGCTCTCTCTTTTCCTTTGACTTATCTTGTTCAAAGTCCTCTGAAACCAGAAGGTAAGGCACACTGTCATGTTTTGGTATGTTTCTCTGAGCTAAGGCAGGGCCATGGAACTTCCTGACCTGATGAATGGCCACTGTTTGCAGCTTTGAGATTCATTTGACTTGATAGTGTATGGATTCCACTTCCATTTAATCTCAGTGTGTAATCACTAATGCCATTAATAAACAACATTTCAGATGAAAAAAGCCTGAGTATTATAGCAGGCTGAGGATGTAGCAAATCTGTTTCCCAGGAACTGTGGGGAAAAGTATTTATTTAGCTGTTTGTACAGACTCACGACCAGGATACTCTGCCAGTGACATAGGATATCAAGGAAATTTGCCCAATGGCTCAAGAAGGAAACCCAGTGCCTTCTTCTGAGGCTCTTTCTAGGGCCTCCTGGATGATTTCTGTCTCAATAGCCTGTTACCACATTGTGAACATAGGCACAGGATTGGGAATTTTTGAAAGGCATTTGCCTGATGTCAATCTCCTGTCAATTTATTTGCAGAAAAGCAGAATGATCATGATGACCTGAAAGGACCGGAGGTGGTTGCCCCGAGGTAATTTTGAATATCTGTCGGCTCTTTGTACAGTCATGACATCTGCAGACCCCGATCCAGGGAAAAACAGAAATTGCTGAAGATATTGTGTCGTCAGTTTTGCCCACCATTATTATCCTTTTTCATAATGATCTCTGCTTTCACTGTGGTACTTCTACTATTTCCCATTTCTTATTTACTAGTCAAGTTTAAAACCCAAATCAGTTCACCCAGGTGAACTAAGTCAGAGTGATTCTTTTGCACTCAATCTTTCTATCAGGTGTGGTTTACAGAGTGAGATGCGTATCTGCTTTCTGTTTGGTGTCAGCATGCTGGCGTGTGTGTCATAGTAATGTCAATGCAACGTAAATGGAAGTGTGAAAGCCAGTGTTCTGTGTCCCTGTATGTGAGGCATGACTGCACCACCAGAGAGAATTCAGTCTGTTCATCAGCCTGTTCTTTGGCCAGAGCACTGAACCCCTACTGCTCTTTCTCTCTTCTGCCCCTGGGAAACCACGCTTTGTCTCACACACAAAACAGACTTTTCTCTCTCTGATGGATGAGACCCTTGGCGTGCTTCACCACTCAAACATTCCATCAGAACCAGATAGAAATGTACAGTTTCTGATCAGTCTTGGCTTAATCTTTTGCCCTCCCTCCCCCACCAGGTACAGCAGACAGATGCCACAGATGGCAGAATATGGTGTCCCGCAGAACTCTCTGGATGACTATTATCTGACTTACTCGGGTCTTCCTAGCCTGTCAGACTCCTTCTGGCCTTATAGGAGCACAGCCATCTTCTCACCTGAGGACCTGGATGTCTCCTATGCTCGGGATGCAACCGGTGAGTATTTTCTTGCGATAGAACTCCACCTGGATGTCGAGGTAGACTCTGTGTGCTTCATACTCCTCGCCTCTGGGGTGCTGAGATTTCTCATCCCTGTTGGAAGTTCTGTAGACAGTGATTTGAATCAGACTCTGTGGTAGAGTTTTAAGTACAGACATCAGGTGGGTCTGGGAGCTGTGCTGTCTTCTTCATTCAGGTGAAGCCTATGGGTCAGGCCCCAAGTTAGATTACAGACCCAAGGCTGGTGTGAAACACTCACTTGTATGTGTGCAGGTGTCCGAGATGACTGTATTTTTTCCTGATTCCTATGCAATGTCTCTTCTTGCCCACAAGGCTCCTATTTTCATACCCAAAATGTCCCTTGAATTTCTGCGCCTTTCCAAAGGTGCTCAGAGCCTTCATTATTTGTTGCTCCGTGGTGTCACTCCTGTCATCCCCAGTGTTTGCTTCTCTAAATTGCTTGTCTTAGCAAACCAATCATCTGGTCCCCAGGATGCAAAGAGCTCTCCCATCACCTTACGTGTGTGTTTCATGAAGCAAGGCAGAGCCCTAGCATTTTCCCGCCCCATGAAAGACTAAAGGGTCCATGTAACAACTAGGATTCATGTGGTTCGATGTTTTGTTCATTCCACTCATCATTCCTGTAAAGCAGTCAGCATATGATGAGAAAATCCTGAGTATTACAGTATTCTGCAAGAATGCTGTGGGCTATTCCCCAGACTCTGTGGGGAAGATGAATCTTAAACTTTTACTGAAACTTGGAAGACAATACTGTGGTGAGGATCTACCAGGGAAGAGAGATCTTGCCTGATGGCTCAGGAAAGTAAACCAAGGAGAGTCTGAGAGATCCAACCTGAGGCATCTGGAGTATCCTTCTTAAATAGCCTGTCATCTTGTTGCTGATATAAATGTCCCCATGGCAGTATCAGACACTGGATTATTAATTTACACGATGAGATTTGCTAAATGTTTCTCAATTTGTCTGAATTTATCCTTAGAAAATCTTGCTGATCTTGAGGACGAGGAAAATCAAGACATCATCTCTTCTAGGTAACTATGGAGAAACATGGGTCTGACATCAGTGGTGACATTTGGTCATCTGACATGCAGGGGAATCAGAAACTGCTGAACATGCCTAATTCTTCCATTCACAACACCAGAAATTGTCCGTGAAACAAGGTCGTCTGTTTTCACCCTTTATGAATCCCTCTCAATTATAGTAACTTATAGTCAGTTGAAGCAGGGCTACTGATCAGCACAGGATTTCTTACAGTCCTTTGACCTCTCCTTTTTATTAAAACCAGCATGCCATACTTATCTGCCTCAATGTCTTAAGACATTGGCATGAATTTCGTGGCAAGCAAAGTAACTAGGAAAAAAAATTCATGTCCCATCGCAGTATTAGAAAAATTGGTCTTGTAGACACAAGATTTCTAGGAGTCCATTATGCTGCCAGAGCTGGTATTCATGTGAATGCAGCATGTAAATCTCAACAAAATGTACGGTGCATTTGAAGCTGATTTATGTTCTGAGGGTGTGTGTGACATGACTGTGTGTCCTGGTGTGGCTCCTCTCCTTCCTCCTGAACTCATTTCTTCTCTGTGCTCAGAGCATCTCATGCTCACTCTCCCTCACTGTTTCCCTTTCGCTTTGCAAGCACCTACAGGCAACAGATGGGGGTTGTGGGTGGGGGGATTGTTAGGCCTCCCTTTAAGGGGACTCTCCATTTGTTTTTCCCAACGTGTCCCTTAACCCTCCCCTCAAAACCAGCTATGGCTCCAGGTTGACTCATCCCTCTTGTTTAACCATCTGCTCTCCCAACCCCACAAATCTCAGTATGGAGCAGCTGGTGGTAGAAGAGAATGAAATCCAGCCGGACACACTGGATGAATGTTATCTGGCTGCTTCTATTGGCCATCATCTGGAAGGCTCCTGTCCTCCTTCTAGGAGGGTCTCCTTCCCAACAGAGAAGAGAGAAATTTTCTTGGCTCTAGATGTAAACGGTGAGTACTCCCAGACAGGCTCTTAGGCTCGGGTCGATTAGAACTATGTTCTCAGTTTGAACTTTTAAAAGGCATCACGAGCCTTTGCATTCTTCTTGCCCCGGGCTGCCCTCTGTCACCTGAACTCATCTCAGCAGCATAGGCTTGTGGTATCAAGTCAGACCAGAGAGGGCAAGTGGAGGGATAAGGGCAGAATCTCAGCTACCACTGTCTCACCTGCAGGGATTTGTGTAACAGAGCTCTTTTTATCAAGAGAAGAATCCTTATAGTCATGAAATTTTGTTGCTAATTTTATTTCTTGAATAGTTTCTGGCCAGCTCTCTGGCTTTGGATTCGTGATTGCAATCTGCTCCATATTTGTAATGCATGTTATATTGTTGCCCAACTCCAGATTCTTACCCCTTTGCTGCCTACCTCCCTCTGAAGCATTTAGATACTAGATCCTGAGCATCAAATCTGCCGATGCCCTGTCATTTCCGTGAATCCAAATATCTGTCTCTGTTGTTCCAACCTCTAGAAACACCCTTGTGTTTCATCCTTTGTGCAGCAAAAAGGAGTTTTCCATGTGTGGGTTATAAGTTCAATGTTTTAAGCAATCTCAGTTGTATAATCTCATGGAAACTCTCCATAACCTGTGAATCTGTTGGGGGTATTGACCTAATTTATGGGCCAGGTCCACTTGGGTGTCAGTTCATAGGGTGTGGAAATTAAAACCTAGTATGAAATCCTTCTTGGGCTATTGTTTTGACTTTTTCTTTACGAGAAGCATTCTTATTATGAGGACTTTGATAAGTAACATCATCTTGATAAACCAGAAGAAACTCCATTCTATATCAGATTTTAATCTAACTCCTTTTAAAATGATATTGGGCATATAAAAGTTGTCCGTCAATCAGTTGGTGGATTTTCACCTTGGAAGCAGTTTCTTTCTTATTTCTCATTCTTCCCTGAGGAGCAGAGAAGCAAAGGCTTTCTCAGGATCACAGTAGTTCACAAACCAGAAAGGGAACACACAGTTATTGTGCACCTGCTGTCCACATGCTCCTTCCTAAGCAAGCTCCTAGTGCACTATAACTCCTTCAGCCCTCCCAGGCACCCTCTCAGGTAGCTGTGGTGTCTCATGGCGGAGCCGAGGGCACTGAGGATCAGCAGGTCCCTTCACTGGGCCCAGACTCCTGGCCACTGGCACGTGGGACACTGACCTCTCCTGGGCCTCACTGCCTGGCTCAGGCTGTGTCCTGTCCTCTCAGCAGTCGGACCATCAGTGACTCAGAGAGGATGTTGCTCACATTTTTCTCTTTGCCCTAACCAAATGATTGGCAACTATCTTAATCTTCAGCAGAAAGTTGCCAGAGGGCTGCAGAGGACCCCTGTGGTCCCTCACTCAGACCTGCCAGCTCCCAGTCCCTCTGTGCACTGTGTCCCAAGGGCAGAGCCGGCGGCTCCCCGGCCCCTCCAGGTGGAGCCACAGCTCCACGGGGCTCTCTCTGGGGATCAGCCAGGGTGAGAGTCCACGCCGCTCCCCACTCCTGCCCCCAGGTCACCTGCTGTCACGACGGGTCCAGGTAGGCCTTGAATTTGGCTGTGCTGAAGCCATGGAAAACTGTGGAGCTCTATCTCAGAAACACTGACCGCTGGGTGTGGGTTCCCGTGAAGAGGATGAGTGAGGCTCAGACACGTGACTCAGATATGTGTCTGAGATGTTTGTGAGTGTGTGATATGGCCCAGTCCTGGGAGTCCATTGTTCACAATGGGCCAGGAAAGGCCAAATCCCCACAGATGGATTGAGATGAATGATTAGAATATCTCACTATACCGGATCCATCCTGCGTCTGTGTTCGCATGGTAACCTGAGAACAGTGTGAATAGCCATTATGGAGCCATTCGGATATCAGTAGTCAGGTGTACCCCGTCCTCTCTGTACAAGGAGAAACCCTGCAGAAACAACACAAACACTTGATTTTTAAATTACATCTTGATCTTCTATTGGAGGCTCTTCCCCACACTAACAATACTGGGCAGTATTGTTGATGATTGATAAAATATTTGGTTATTATATATTCTGACAATGCAAAGAATATTCAAAGCATAGGTTTAATAAAACCCATTCGCAAGAGGGGCAAATAACATTGGATGATGAAATTACACAATGCTAATTAAAAACAATCCTAGACATCGATTTATAATAACATTGGAGAATAAGGGGATACATAGTTTTGACAGTTCTTTCAAACAACAAATTTGTTGATATACAAGGATTTACTCTTCATCCCAATGTGAATTATCATAAAATCTGAGTAAGTGTCCTGAAACATGATGATTAATGTTTAATGAAGTTTGCCTGGTGGAAATATGAAGGGTACACCAGACTGAGAGAAGTGGTTTTGGAAAAAGCCCTGGAAGCTCACAGAGGCTCCTGGTACAGGGCTGGGGTCAGAAAGGGGCCAGCCTGAGTCCTAGGAGGATGTGCAGAGGGAGTTGTGGGAAGTGATGTTGCAGACGAAAGAGGGACAGAAGACAGGAGCACTGGAAAGGCGGGTGAGGAGGTTCAATCTGTGTAGCAGGGAAGGGAGGATGAATTTCCATAAACTGAGGCACATGTGATAAAACAGGCTTGGGGGGTGATAAGCCAGGTGACCTTTGAGAGTCTGGAGAGGACGGAATCAGAGAAAGCAGTTGGAAGGAGGTTGGATGAATCTTTGATGAGAGTCAAACTCAGATGCTCTCTGGAACACTAAGAGGTAACAGACACATGAGAGACAGTTAGAGAAACAAACCTTGTTGAGGGTGTGGATGCATAAGGAGGTGAGAGGAGAGCCCCACAGCAATGGAGAGCAGGCCCTGGCGGCCGTGACCTCACAGCAGCCTGACCTGGACCAGAGGAGGGTACTTCGTGCCTTTGGTTAGCCCAGGTTCTGAGAATGTGTACTCATTTCGCAGTAGAAATATATAAACACATTTCATTATGAGCACTGTCAAGGCACCAGTAGAGGCACATGTATTGAAGGAGTGTACTTATATAATCTGTTTAAAGAGACACAAAGGTGTTTCCAACAGGGTCTCAGCCCTCTCCCCCACTAGTTCTAGCTGCTAATACCATCCATCGCCATTCTGCCCCCACGTGGGAATAGATTTTATTCTATATGTACATGTACGGGTGAGTGGAAGGGTAGACAAAAGTTTCAAGCAAGGAAGTTCCAAAGGGTCTGGAATGTACTGTATTTTCCCAGCTCAAATTCTAGTAGGACCTGAAGCTTTCACGCCATATGTCTCTTCCTGTTCTTTTACTCCTGTGAGTAGATATCAACAACTCTTTCTCCCCCATGCCTAGAGGCTTGTGTGGAACCTTCTCTCTAGGCTCCAACACTAAGGCTAATAACAGAATAAGAGGCTTGACCTCCTGTGTCACCCAAACCCTCTTGACTCCAGTGGGTGATTTCTCATTTCAAGAAATTGCAGCATAACACCTGCCTTCTCTGCACCCCAGTCCCAGCCATAAATATGGCGCCTTCTTCACATTGATGTCTGCCATTGTTGTCTGGGTTATTGGCTGGTTTCACTTATGGGCTAGGACAGCAGAAATGGGCACTCTGGGAGGGGTAGGCAAGAAAAAGCGTTCATCGGTTCTACTGAACCCTCTTTTCCTTTCAGGTGACACCTGCGAGGACTCTCAGCAGGAACCTGTGAGTTTCCCAGCGTCAGAGGTGCCAACTTCACAGGCACAGCTTCAGAAAAGCACCCACGTGACCGAGTGTCTGCAGAGGCAGCTGGACCAGCATCTTGACTGTGGTGACAGCAAACCCATTCTTGGTCTTTGTTCCACCAACAGGGCCTTTACCCCCAACCCTGATTCTGGAAACCAAGGACCACTCTTTCTCGGTAAGAAAGAAAAGGGGATTAGAAAGCTCTGGTCCATGTGCAGGTCATCACAAAGCTGTGGGTGGAGGAGGCAGAGGGCCTCTCCCAAACACGCTGTCGGCCCAGTTGAAACCCGTGACCCTCTACCAGAGTGAGGTGATCAAGAGCCTGGGATTTAAGACCAGCTCAGCCTCAGGCCCTGGTTCTGCAAACTTCTGCTTCTTTAACTGAGCCAACTTATTCATCTTCCTAGGATTTGCCTCTCTCGTCCCTCATCTGAATTCTTGAAAAATTCTATCTGCTTTGCATGATTGTTGGGAATCTTCAACAATATAATATACAGGGCATCTGATTCGCTAAAATTTGTTTGATAACCACTATGAATATATAATATCTAAGCATTGTGTCTTTCTGGTGCTTTCACGCTTAAAAATGATTGCACAATGGTTGTTTCCTCTATGGTAGCATAAGCTTTATGGTCTCTGCTTTCTCTAAACCTCAACTTCCCTTGCTTTCTCAGGAAGGTACCTTGGCCAGTATTTTCCTCTCCTTTCAACATCTTTCATCAAGGCAATTTCCTCCTGTTATGTGCTCCCATTAACAGTGTATTAGGAGCATGCAATAGGAGTGTAAACACTGGCCCTGCAACTCAGTCCCATGTTTGCTCTTCATATCCAGTTTCTTTTCCTCATTTTCCCCTCATTTTAAAATAAAGGGCTACCCTCATTCTTGAAGTTCACCCATCAGTTTCTTTTATGACACTCCATTTAATTCATTCTCTCCACTCATCTCCTTTTCCCTCTCCTAGTCTTCCTCTCCTCTGGATCCACCTCTGTTCAAATTTCCCTCAAAGAGCTTTCAGACCCTCACATCCATTTCATCTGGGACGTATTCATCCTTACCCTCCATCACTCTCCATGTCCTCCACTGGAGCCTGGGGCTGCCTGGTGCTCCTCCCTCAGGCTGTGGCTTCCAGTGAGGATCCAGGAGAGACCCACGTCCTCAGGTGGAGCTGAGCTGAGAAGGAGCCCCCTGGTGCAGCGTGCAGAGTCTCTCGGAAAGTGCTCAGCGGGGAGGGGTGGAGAGCCTGACAAGAGCCAGTAGGTCTTGTGGTGTTTCTTGTCTCCTCTTCCGCTTGTGCCTCCTTTTCCTGTTCTTGGTCTCCCCCATTCTCAGCCAAGACTGAACCCCACTGGCTCAGTCACTCTGTTTCCTGCTCACCTTCCATGGAGACCTGAGCATAAATCCAGGCTTCACAGCAGATTTTGCAGCAAAGGGTAGTCTTAATGCCCTTTGCTTTCACACCCCCTCACACTGTGGCTCCCACCTGCTGCCCCATATCTCCTAGTTCCTGTCACCAAATAGAGCTTCTTTCCCATTCTTCTTATTTTTCTATTTTCGTTTCCAAATTCAACTCATCAGGAAGCCAATAGAACAATCCATTCAATAGCTCAAATCCTTCATTCATTTATTCCATCACAAACACACTCACCTGTGAGTTTTCTTCCATTTTTATCATATCATCTATGCCTTATATAAATTATGAATAAATATCATATGTAGTGTGTTTCCATATCTATGAAGTGTATATTGATGCACATTTAAAAGTTTTCCAATTTAGACTTCCCCACTTCTTTTCTCTCATGAGCTTTTCCTTCAACTTTGACTTTGCTTCATCTCTTCCCTCCCAACAGTACAAACTGCATGCTGGAGGAGTTTCTTGCCTTTGTCTTTTCTACCTAGGAATTTTTTGTTGTCATCCATTTTATTTTCCTTGGCTCATTTCTGGCATTTGGAAACACATTTTCCCTGTGGCACCCTTAACAATACTGGGTAGTACAAGGAAGATTAGCAAAAAAGAAAATATAAAACTATCTCCACTGGCTTCACCTACCCATGGGCTTTCAGATGGCGTTTCTTGTTCCTGGACACTTTTGGTACCTGATGTCCTTCTTGGGTGAAGGAGTAAGTCTTTGTAAGTCATGAATAACAATGGATCCTGTTGGCTGTGGTTTTCTCTTCAGAGCTGGATGCTTCCATCAGAATGAAGAACCCTCCCAAGCTGGAAGGTGAGGGCTCCACAGCAAGCACACATGAGCAGCCAGTCTGTAAGAAGATTAAAGGCTTAAGTGGCCTGAAACAGAAGATTCTCAGTAGAAAAGTGCTGTTTGGCAAGTGGAGACTAGCGTTCAGATTCCCTGGCCTTCAGGCTTAGGGTACAGAGGTAATCCCATGCACTTCTTCCTTATGCTCTTTATCTGTCATGGCTCAGTCTCCCACTAAGTTTTCTCTTCCTCATTTGTTCACTCAACAGCTGACACAGCTCTGTGGTCTTTCCTCTCTTTTCCGTGGGGGCTGCCACCCTGCAGTGCCCTTCCCTCTCACTCTCCTGTGTCCACTCTGACTCTACTGTTTCCGCTCTGCTACCGTCCTCATGTTCCCTCTGACCTTTCCTATCAGCCACAGGGAAGCCCAGATCCATGGTCCTTCTCATCAGAAGAGCAGCATTTAAGCCACTGAAAACATTGGCCTTCAATCACACACATTCTTGGTTTCTTCACCTGACTTTCCCCCCTGCCTCCAAGTCTACTGCCTCTTGCTTTCAGGATCATGTCTTAAGGAATCACTCACATGTGAGTTGGCTTCTGGAGAAATGCACCTAGGACAGTCCTTAACCCTCAGCTTTTCCACCAGAATAAGAAATGCCAGAACTGAAGGAAAAAGCCTTCATTACTAAAATAAAGGAGAACCTGGGTCATAGGTGGGAGTGCTCTACTGGCCTAAGTCATGATTCCCCCCAGGCCCTGATGTGCAGAACTTGGCTAATGTGCAGGGGCTTCCAGGAACTCACTGGAGCTGGCATTAGGGGGAGGGCAGTAAATGGCTCCCTAAAGGGACCTTGGGGAAAAGGAGATAGAGAAGTCAGGTTTTCAAAATACACAGGGCCTGAGATGGACAGGGCTCAGACCTCCCCAGTTTTACTCACATTATTCCGTCTCAGTATTAGTCAAAGCCCAGAAAAATGAACTGAGTTGAAGTCTGAGGTCAGGGAATGTAGGACAGAATTATACTGAATTAACTTGCGCCACATTTATGAAGACCCAGGGAGATACACAAGAATACAAGATAATCATTGCTTCTGACCATCCAATTGAGAAGGCCAATTATATATGAGAGTAACAGAAAAAGACCAAAAAATCCTTAGGGCCAGTGGAGAGAAGTCCATATTGGACTAGAAGGAGAAAATTAAAAGAGTGATGTGAAATAGTGTAGGTCTAGCGTGTAGTTCTAAATCATGCTATTGTAAAATGAAAACGGATTGGGTTTTGAGGTAACATGAATGCCTTAACCCAGTCTATTGAAATTCTGATTTTAAAGTTCTGAGGATGAGGTTTGGATTTCAGTATCTTTCAAAGCTCTGCTAATATGCATCAAGGATCAGAGGACAGTGGATCTAATAGGATATAAGTAACCAATATGGCAATGGCCTATGAGTGGCTGCTTCCTCAAAAAGCTGAATATCAACAATTAAGGCAATTTGCATTCTTCTCTCAACAGAACTCTTTTGTACAGCCTGGAGAAGAGAAAAGAGAAAAAAGGAGATGTAGATAGTTAAGTTAGATATATAATCTCTCTGTTTGGATTCAAGTTTCTCACAATTTTCATAGTACAAGATACAATAAAACAAACAAACAAATATTACAAATGCCTCAAAGTATAAAATGGACCCTCCCCTTGCCACAAGAATACAATTTAGTGTTTCCTTTTCTAATGTTAAAATGCAACTTGCAGTTAACTATTCTCTAAACATGTTTCACAGACTACTAACTGGCTCAGAAGAGCAGATGCAACAAAGATTTTTCATTGAATATATTCTTTATGCAAAAACCCCATAATGAATATTAGGCTTTATACTGCTATGTTTATCCTTTTACATACCCATCTATCAGTTCAGTTAAGTTCCTCAGTTGTCTCCAAATCTTTGCGACCCCATGGACGGCAGCACGCCAGGCTTCTCTGTTCATCACCAACTCCCAGAGCTTGCTCACATTCATGACCATTGAGTCGGTGAGGCCATCCTACCATGTCATCCTCTTTTGTCCCCTTCTCCTCCTGCCTTCAATCTTCCCCAGCATCAGGGTCTTTTCTAAGGAATCAGTTCTTCACATCAGGTGGCCAAAGTATTGCCGTTTCAGCTTCAGCATCAGTCCTTCCAATGTATATTCAGGACTGATTTCCTTTAGGATGGACTGGTTGGATCTCCTTGCAGTCTAAGGGACTCTCAAGAGTCTTCTCCAACACCATAGTTCAAAAGCATCAATTCTTTGGCACTCAGCTTTCTTTATGGTCCAACGTCACATCCATACATGACTACTTGAAAAACTGTAACTTTGACGAGATGGACCTTTGTTGGCAAAGTCACATCTCTGCTTTTTAATATGCTGTCTCCGTTTATCATAACTTTTCTTCCAAAGAGTAAGTGTCTTTTAAATTCATGGCTGCAGTCACCATCTGCAGTGATTTTGGAGCCCAAGAAAATTAAGTTTGTCTCTGTTTCTATTGTTTCGCCATCTATTTGCCATGAAGTGATGGGACCAGAAGCCATGATCTTCATTTTTTTGAATGCATAGTTTAAAGCCACCCTTTTCACTCATCTCTCACCTTCGTCAAGAGGCTTCTTAGTTCTTCTTTGCTTTCTGCCATAAGGGTGGTGTCATCTGCATATCTGAGGTTAATGATATTTCTTCTGGCAATCTTGATTCCAGCTGTGCTTCATCCAGCCCAGCATTTCGCATGATGTACTCTGGATTTAAGTTAAATACTCAATATGACAATATACAGCCTTGACATCCTCCTTTCTCAATTTGGAACCATTCCGTGTTCCATGTCCAGTTCTAATGATGCTTCTTGAGCTGCATACAGGTTTCTCAGGAGGCAGCTAAGGTGGTCTGGTATTCCCATTTCTTTAAGTATTTTCCATAGTTTGCTGTGATCCTCACAGTCAAAAGCTTTGGCCTAGTCAAGAAAGCAGAAGTAGGTGTTTTTCTATACACTAGCATAAAATACTAGGAGAGACTCTTTCTTAGAGAAAAGTTTGGGGAAAAGGTGATGAGAATTTAGTATAACTAAACTGAATGCTCTTTCACTTCAGAGTTTGATTTATGTAGATGTCAAGGATATTCCTAAAAATGCCTTAAGGTAGATCCAGCATGAAATCACCTTCATAGCATTTTGGTGTCCACAGGATGCAAATGGGTTGAGACACAGTTACACTTCCTATTCTCTTTTTGCTCATTTTATTTTGAGTTTCCCCACTTTCCATTCATTCCTCAGTCTCCTTGGAGCAGGATTTCCCTGGAATGCTTTATTCCTGTCCAGGAGGATGACCAAACAGCCTCTATTAACTGTTGACTCCTCCAGATGGGAGCTTTTCTCTTCTCCTCTCCCTTCCCGCAAATGTGTAGGAAGGGCCTGTGGCCTGGGTGGTCAGTAACAAGTCATGTGGTTTTGGATAGTCCTTAGACCTTGAAAACATAGCTCCTCCCCTGTAAATTATGGAACTGGACTTGGATCCATTCTGAGGTCCCTGTTGGTGCTCACATCCAGGACTCTCGGTTGCCTGCGTCTCCTCCTCAGAGGGCAGGGATGAAGAGGTAGAAGAGGGTTCTTTCTCAGTGAGGATCCTCTGCTCCCATAGCAGTCTGTTTCCAGCTGTGTATGAGGGACGCTCAGCACGTCCATCCCTGAATGTGTGGGAAAGCGTACAGATGAAGGGGATTCAAGAGTGAAATGACTGTTGAGGATTGAGCGGTGGGGATCCAGTTAAGGCTCTGAAGCAGCTCTGAGCTGAGACATCACCAAGAACAGGTGGGGTGAGGAGGGGTCCTTCAATGCTGCACCACAGGCTAGAGGAAAGTTTAGGGAGGTATTCCTTCTCAATCCCGGATCTCACTCTCCTCTCCAGCCAGCCTGTGCTCTCCCTTCAGCTCGTCCTGTCAACAGCTCTATGTGCCCCTGGCCCCAGTCACCATGTGGCCATCCCTCCAGTCTCAGCAGGACCTAACAAACACTCACATTGCTTCTTCTCTCCCTCTCTCTGTCTTTCACAGATACCAATTACTTTAGGAACTAAGAGAAGATATTGTCATTTTGAGAAACCACACTATAAAATATACCTTTTCCATTTGATGAAAAAAATCTACAACAACAACTCAATTTAAACCTCAGCAACACTGGAGGGATCCTTTCCTGAGAATGAGCATCCCAACCGACAACCACGCTCCACACCCCAAGGGACAGAATTGATGGGAGTAATCCCAGTCATCAGCCTCGGAATGTAATCCTCAGTAATGTGATCAGTGCTTTGATGGACACACAGTTTGGAAAGACCTGAACTCTTGCGCCTCTAAATATTCATCCTCCACACACCAGCATGGGAACAAGTGGAAGAAGACAACCTATCAACCCGGTCATTCTTTGCCACCAGATGGACTGTGCTCAGAGCAGACAGCATTTACTATGCATTGTTCTTGCTCAAAGTGTTCATCCTGTGTTTAATATTGAGGTAGATGTCAGATAACTGCAGAATTTAGACCTTTGAACCAGACAACTGGCCTGTCTCTCTTCAAACAGTCAATGTTTGCACCAGAAGGACAGCAAAGAGGAGGACAGATGTTTTAGGTTCCAAAGGACTAAAAAGATCGTGTCACTTTATTTCTTTAGTCCTTTGGAACCTCAAACATCTCCTCAGCTTCTTGTAGTTGTCTCTGATGCTCGTGACATTGACTTGTTTGCAGAGGATAGGTCAGTTGTCTACTCAAAGGTCTACATTTTGCAGTTGTCTGATCATTTCCTCACGATTAAATTCAGGTGAACCTTTTTTGTCAGGAACACCATCTAGTACATGCTGTGTGCTTCCTAGTGCAGCCTGTTTGGAGGCTAAGAGTGTCCACTTTACCTGTCACCACTATCGTCATTTTAGCATTGAACACTGTTATGCAGAGGCTTAGAGGATCTGTTCATTGAAAAGACAGGCTTTTGTGTCTGTAATGAGTAATTTGATGAGTGGTATTTTGAGAGTGTATGAATATCATATTCTATGATGCTCTTTCTGTAAACATTGTACCATCCTTTATTGATCCCTGACGTGTGTCAATTATCATATCTGTGGTATTGCCAGCTTTGTGCTGTGGAAAAGGCAATCCCTATCCCAAACATGTTATTAAAAATATTTTTTTAATATATTAAATGTGGACCCATGCTTTTTTAAAATTCAGTGTTATAATCCCTTATTTTCTTACACTTATTTTTAATTGGAGGCTTACTGCTTTACTGTGTTGTGCTGGTTTCTGCCATACACCAGTGGGAATCAAACCTAAGTATAAATATGTCCCCTCCTTCTTGAACCTCCTTCCCACCCCTCCCCCACCCACAGTCCATTATTAGCATGATTGATTTTATTAATATCAAGACTCTGTTCTCATGTGCTGTGCTGTGCTTAATTGCTCAGTCGTGTCCAACTCTTTGCACCCCCATGGACTGTAGGCCCCCAGGCTCCTGTGTCCATGGGGATTCTCCAGGCAAGAATACTGGGGCGGGTTGCCCCAGTATCTACTTCAGGGGATCTTTCCAGCCCAGGGATCGAGGCCAGGTGTTCCCCATTGCAGGTGGATTCCACCAGGGAAGCCCAAGAATACTGGAGTGGGTATCCCATCCCTTCTCAGGGACTCCAACAACCAGGAATCGACCCGGGGTCTCCTAAATCCTAGGCAGATTCTTTACGAGCTGAGCTACCAGGGAAGCGCCTTTGTTTCTCCTATTCAGTTTTGTATCTTAAACTCCTCTCACATCTTTTCATCTATGTTTACCATTTGTAGTAGATGGTATCTTCTCTGTTTCTTTCTCTGTGATTTTATATTCTTTGTGTATGCATATTTGTGTGTGTGTTTTGCTTGGTATTTTGGAAGGCCTGGATAGCTAGTTAGTGCACTAACATCTTTGACATGTTAGTCCTTTAGTATTTTGTCACATTTCTAATATTTGAAGTATATGTTTTAACTGTTATCTATCAACTTTTTGCTACTATGATGATCGAGGACACTATTCTGCTTTTTTCTTCTGTCTTTACCTACCTGATAGTATTATTACCTTATTGTATCATTTAAACCCAATCAAATGTATGCCCTTTATATACCGTATTTTCCCTACCTTTTTTCGTTAATGTGCTAGTTGGTAGGGTAGAAGTAGGAACTGGAGGAGGGGCCCCCTGGGTCCTTTCGACCCCCCGGTGGGACAGGATGGCTGTCCCACTCTGGGAGTACTAGAAGCCTCCCTGCAGAAGTTTGAAGGTGTACCTAGGCTGCCCCCAGAGCAGGGCCCACGACATAGTGGCTTAAATCTTCAATCACATATATTCAGTGATGACCGGATGTACAAAACTCATAGTTTCCTGTCAATTCTTGATGAGCAGAGTTCATCTTTAAAGATTTCTCACGATGGACTGAGGACTCGTTAAGTTTGATATATTTAATACTTGTTTTCTGTTGCTTTGATACAGTACAGACACCTTGGCGAAAGAGAAATAACTCGTCCACAATGAGTTCTACTGATTTAAAAAAACAAATCTTACTTTGTATGTTCTGCTGAGATGTAGAATGTAAATTGATTTTTCTTCACTGAGGGCAAAGGGTGGTCTGGAGCTTCAGGAGATCTTTTCTTTTAGAAAGCAAGTCTTTCAGCTCTACTAGGATAGGTCTTAGAACTGACCATTCCAGGCCTATTTCCCCTAGGTCTCTATGACTTTCTCTCTGATCCTTTCTCACTACCTTCTGTTCATTTCTATTCTGTTTGATGCTTTCATTTTTCATGCAGCCTCCCTGATAAGTTTAGATAAATATGTTCTCAATGTACTTTGTCATTTAGCCTTTTCTTTTCCAGAGAATTTTCCTTACCCTCAATTTTTAAAAATCTCTGTCAATTCCAATTTCTCATTTCTTCTTTCCTGTCTACTTCTATCTCATGTTCTGTATTTCTTACATAACATATTGAAGTTTTTCCATGTGTATGTATCTACAAATGCTTTGTTCAAAACAATTCAAAATATGGATGCCATTTTACATTTCGCAATGTTCTTTGATTGATTTTGAGGCAATCTTTTCATTTGCTGAAATTTTTGACTCTCATTTTACACTTTTTTCTTCTGTCATCATGAAAGAAAGTTCTGCTATATAGTTTTCATTTTCACATGACTGGGTTTACCTGAATGAGAAACAGTTGTTGCAGGTCAGAAGGGATTAGTGCTTTGAGTAGCTTGGTTGATTTCTTTGTTCTAGGTCTGTCTTGTGCAATTACTCTAGCAGAGCTAAGGCTTGGGGGTAAGGCATGGTGTGTCTCTTGATTTGGGGATTCTATTTCTTCCAGTAGGACCTTTCATTTCTGCCAGTTGCACCATTCATTTTTCATCACAAGTGTTCAAAGGATGCTCCCTTCAGCTTGGTCTCAAACCTGATCCCAGTAATTATACCCTCTCAAGACTGTCACCCTCTGGTCCTCTACACTGGTGAACTCTTTCCTATCAATTCCCCAGTCGCCAGAGCTAGGGCCAACCATGTCTCAGACATCCTCTGAGTTCACCCACATGCTCTTTCTGTGAGTTATTTTACCCGAGTTCTGTGCGGAGTCCTCCTCCCTGCCGTGCTCTCCTCTGTATGCAGGGTCTTTGTTGACCCCTCCGCTGCTGTGTGGCTCGCAGACCTAGCTGAATACAAACCAAGTCACGGCCACAGTGGTCTCTGGCCCCTGGTTGTTTGGAGCAGGGTTTTGAATGGTGTCCTTGACGCTCTCTGTGAGTTCCTAGCCTTGGAATTGTATGTTGAGAGATTCAGCTGCTATTATTCTAGGTGGACCTGTGTTCTCCTATCATTCTTTTTCAAATCCGAAATTTCAATAATACACAAAAGTAGACATAACAGAACAGTCCCGTCTTTGTCAGGCATGGTCTACAGTTACCAGCTTATGGTTGAACTTGTCTTACCACAATCCATGCTCTCCATTATGTACCAGAATTTATCTGACTCCTTTTAAAATAATATTGGGCATATAAAAGTTGTCTGTCAATCAGTTGCCTTCTCACCTTGGAAGCAGTTTCTTTCTTATTTCTCATTCTTCCCTGAGAAGCAGAGAAGCAAAGGCATTCTCAGGATCACAGTAGTTCACAAACCAGAAAGGGAACACACAGTTATTGTGCACCTGCTGTCCACATGCTCCTTCCTAAGCAAGCTCCTAGTGCACTATAACCCCTTCAGCCCTCCCAGGCACCCTTTCAGGTAGCTGTGGTGTCTCACGGCGGAGCCGAGGGCACTGATGATCAGCGGGTCCCTTCACTGGGCCCAGACTCCTGGCCACTGGCAAGTGGGACACTGACCTCTCCTGGGCCCGAAACCCTGGCTCAGGCTGTGTCCTCTCCTCTCAGCAGTCGGACCATCAGTGACTCAGAGAGGATGTTGCTCACATTTTTCTCTTTGCCCTAACCAAATGATTGGCAACTATCTTAATCTTGAAGAGAAAGTTGCCAGAGGGCTGCAGAGAACCCCTGTGGTCCCTCACTCAGACGTGCCAGCTCCCAGTCCCTCTGTGCACTGTGTCCCAAGGGCAGAGCCGGCGGCTCCCCGGCCCCTCCAGGTGGAGCCACAGCTCCACGGGGCTCTCTCTGGGGATCAGCCAGGGTGAGAGTCCACGCCGCTCCCCACTCCTGCCCCCAGGTCACCTGCTGTCACGACGGGTCCAGGTAGGCCTTGAATTTGGCTGTGCTGAAGCCATGGAAAACTGTGGAGCTCTATCTCAGAAACACTGACCGCTGGGTGTGGGTTCCCGTGAAGAGGATGAGTGAGGCTCAGACACGTGACTCAGATATGTGTCTGAGATGTTTGTGAGTGTGTGATATGGCCCAGTCCTGGGAGTCCATTGTTCACAATGGGCCAGGAAAGGCCAAATCCCCACAGATGGATTCAGATGAATGAATAGAATATCTAACTATACAGGGATCATTCCTGCGTCTTGATTTTCATGATAACCTGAGAAGAGTGTGAATAGCTATTATGGAGCCATGTGGATACGAGTAGTCAGGTCTACCCTGTCCTCTCTGTACAAGGAGAAACCCTGCAGAGACAACACAAACACTTGGGTTTTAAATTACAACTTGATCTTCTATTGGAGGCTTTTCGCCACACTAACAAAATTGGGCACTATGGTTGATGTTTGATAAAATGTTTGTTTATTTTATAGTCTGTGAATCCAAAGAATATTCAAAGCATAGGTTTAATAAAACCCATTCTCAAGAAAAGACAAATAAATTTAGATGATGAAATTACACAATGATCATTAAAAAACAATCCTAGACATTGATTCAAAATAACATTGGGGAATAAGGGGATACATAGTTTTGACCAGTTCTTTTAACCACCAAATTTTGTACAAGGATTTACCCTTCAGCCCAGTGTGAATTATCATGAAATCTGATGAAGTGTCCTAAAATATGATGATTCATGATTAATGAAGTTTGCCTGGTGTAAATATGAAGGGCACACCAGACTGAGAGAAGTGCTTTTGGACAAAGCTCTGGAAGCTCACAGAGGCTCCTGGTACAGGGCTGGGGTCAGAAAGGCGCCAGCCTGAGCCTAGGAGGATTTGCAGAGGGAGCTGTAGGAAGTGATGTTGCAGAAGAAAGAGGGACTAGAAGACAGGAGCATTGGAAAGGTGGGTGAGGAGGTTCGATCTGTGTAGCAGGAAAGGGAGGATGAATTTCCAGAAACTGAGGAGCATGTGATAAAACAGGATTGGAGGTGGTAAGACAGGAGAAATATCAATAACCTCAGATATGCAGATGACACCACCCTGATGGCAGAAAGTGAAGAGGAACTAAAAAGCCTCTTGATGAAAGTCAAAGAGGAGAGTGCAAAAGTTGGCTTAAAGCTTAACATTCAGAAAACTAAGATCATGGCATCTGGTATCATCACCTCATGGGAATTAGATGGGGAGACAGTGGAAACAGTGTCAGACTTTATTTCTGGGGGGCTCCAAAATCACTGCAGATGGTGATTGCAGCCATGAAATTAAAAGGCACTTACTCCTTGGAAGGAAAGTTATGATATACCTGGATAGCATATTAAAAAGCAGAGGCATTACTTTGCCAACAAAGGTCCATCTGGTAAAGGTTATGGTTTTTCCAGTGGTCATGTAAGCATGTGAGAGTTGGACTGTGAAGAAAGCTGAGCGCCTAAAAATTGATGCTTTTGAACTATGGTGTTGGAGAAGACTCTTGAGAGTCCCTTGGACTGCAAGGAGATCCAACCAGTCCATCCTGAAGGAGATCAGTCCTGGGTGTTCACTGGAAGCACTGATACTGAAGCTGAAACTCCAGTACTTTGGCCACCTCATGCGAAGAGTTGACTCACTGGAAAAGACCCTGATGCTGGGAGGGATTAGGGGCAGGAGGAAAAGGGGACAACAGAGGATGAAATGGCTGGATGGCATCACCGACTCGATGGGCATGAGTGTGAGTAAACTCCGGGAGTTGGTGATGGACAGGGAGGCCTGGCATGCTGCAATTCTTGGGGTCGCAAAGAGTCGGACACGACTCAGTGACTGAACTGAACTGGAAGACAGGTGACCTTTGAGAGTATAGAGAGGACTGAATCAAACTAAGCAGTTGGAAGGAGGTTGGATGAATCTTTGATGAGAGTCAGACTCAGATCCTCTCTGGACGACTAAGAGATAACAGAGACATGAGAGACAGTTAGAGAAACAAACCTTGTTGAGGGTGCGGATGCATGAGAAGGAGCTGAGAGGAGTACTTCACAAACCAGAAAGGGAACACACAGTTATTGTGCAGAGACTAAAAGTCATAAAAGTTAAGAGGTCACACACTAGTTACAGACACCGAACAATTTCTAAGGACATCACAGTGGAATAAAATGATTCTCAAAAACAATCTTTTGAGCATAAAACTTTTCAAATTTAAGATTATAACAGAAAAGCAGTTGGCTATGACAAGGCTTTATAGAGATATTAACCATGGTTAGTAGGATTATAGACCAAACTTCCTCAACAAGATGAGATTTGTTAGTTCTGTTTAAAACAAACAAAAAACAGTATGTTAAATACAACAGAATGCCTTTTTCTCCTTCTCCTAAGTCTATATCCCTACAATTATTTTGTCTTGAGTATACGCTCCCGGACACCCCAATTATATAAAGTAACCAGCACTTCATTGAAAATAAATCCTGAGTGAGGTAAATGTTTCCAATAAATATAAACTTAAACACAATGTGTAAGGAAAAAATGTAATGACAGCATTTTGGTTACATTTTAGAATGTGAGGATGAATCATTTCAGCTAAAGATTCAAATTTACTCAGTTAACTCAACCTTTAAAAATAAGATACTTCTTATATCTACTTAACATCAAGTGGTCACGATAGCACTGTCCAAAAGAACAGGGGAAAGATGAGAGCTGGAGATGAGCTGGCAGAACACGGCTTTCTTAGAACTGGCCAATCAATTCCAGGTCATCTGTTTTGCTGTTGCTATAGGGACCTTATGAATCACAACTTCTCCCTACTCTCCATCATTTAGAGAACTGAATCACATATGAAAAAGATACTGAAAAGATTAACTTCCACTAAAAATATATACAGTAAAAAATTTGACTGTATTACAGTTAATTATATATTTTCACCCACCTCAGCTTAGTAAATTAAAAAGTTTCGCCACTGGAGAAACATACACAGAATTATCTACATACCCACTCTTTCCAAAACTGTCCCTCATGTCAGTCCTGAATGTTAAATCCACTGTATCTTTAAAAGTCTGAAGAACTTTCAAACAATGTTTTTATTTACTGTGACACCCAAACAGATGCATCTTTGTGCATAATGTTTACCATGATTACTTACAGGAAGCAAATTTGACCTCAGAACCAAGTTGGATATATTATAAATTTAAGACATGTCTCTTATTTTAAGTTCACAAAAAAGAATTCTCATCTCAATATTTAACAGTGAAGTGTCATGATGTCTATAACTTACTTTCAAATGGGATTCAGAAAAAGAAAGGAATAAATAAATGTGAGGTATAAATATAACGTGTAAATATTGGAGAGAAAGCAGATATGGCAAAAGTTATCAACGCTGGAGGTTATATGGGTATTCAAAGAAGTTGTTCAACTTTTCTGTGAAAAATTTCAAAGTAAAAGGTTGGGGGAACAAAAACCCTTCACTGACTCCTAGCTGTCCTAGGTTTCAGTAATTACCCTGAATATACACGTCCAGTCCTTTCCTTTTTGCCTCAAGACCTTTCTACCTTTGCTTTAAAAAAACTTACAGAATTGTGTTACGTCTTTTAACAAAAATCATCAACTCTAGCAAAGTACACTTCAAGGCTGGTATCAGTGAAACTGTTTTACCTGAAAGTTAACATCTTCTTTCTTAAATATTAGTGCTCGAACTTCATCAGGCTCTCCATTAAATATAGCTCGCACCAGTGAGGGCTAAAATACAAGAGAGTAATAAAAACGTTAATCACACCACATGCATGATTCTAAAGCTATTTCCACATAACTTTTAAATCTAAAATTTTTCTTCCCTATCACAACAATAATCACTTGGCTTTTGACATGAACCAAGTTTCATGAAGTCAAATCATATGAAAGTACAAGATTCCTCCTTGGAAAAAAGAGTAGGCCTAATTTAAAAAAAAAAATCAATTCCTTATGACCAAAATTAGGTAGTATAATAAGCATAATTAGATTTTACACGAGTGGAAACCTTTTGTTTATACAGATGGTAAAAAGAAAGTATCTTCCAAATAAATACAAGTGAGACATCTCAATACATCCTTGCAGGACACAACTCGTCAAACAAGCAGCGTGACCAGGAGCCCAGAGGAGGGCCTCTGAACAGCTCCGTCTCGGGTGCCCGGATAATGCGCATGAGTTAGCATTACATGTGTAAAGATAAAAATCCAAAGGAAACCTGACAGTTGATGGAATCACTGCTTTTCAAAGACCAAAAGTTACTGTAAATCTGAGTAACATGAAGAGGCAGACACATGCATGTCTAAATATAACAAGTTCTTAATCAACGATATAGCCTCTCTGATAAGGTATCACATTATATTCTCAAACAAAAAGTTAAATGACAAAGTTTTAAACATAAAACTAAAGATGAAGTCTGATTCTTTTTCTGTAACAGCCCTGCATGTAAATATATAAAATTCACTACAGAGAAGGCTGTACCTCCGTGTTGCTGGCAACAGTCAACTTTGCTAAAACATACAGTTCCTCATACTTGCTACATCAGTGTCTAAAACCACAAAGTAAAAACTGAAATATGGGTGCTGTAGCCTACTCTCCTCGAATTATTTTTTAAACTCATTGTAAGAGATTAAGAGATAAAGTCTGAAATGTTATCTAAACATCTGAAAATAAAGTCTGAAATGTTATCTAAACATCTGAAAAACTGAAAATAGGAAATGTGTGTATTTATACACAGTAATATTGCATCATACTCACACACCTATATTGCTTTCACTTGGGTTTTCCATGAAACTAGTGGAAATTAACTTGCATTTATTCTTAAAAAATAAAATTTACCCTGCTAGTTCAGTAAAAGATAGTAAACATATAAACTCTTGTATCTTACTAATACATTTCCCGAAGGTGGAGAATGTAGGGATTTATTTTCCTGTGGCAATTTAGAAATGAATGCAGGAGACTCACCTTCTACCTCCTCCAAAACAACAATACACACTCGACTCATTCATTCTTTTAAAAAACTGAATTCTAAGCTATGTGATAAAAGTCACAGTAGGAAGAGCACAAGTAGTTTTTCCTCCTCTTCTGTACAGCACTCAGAATCATTCTTTGAAAAGCACAGCTGGTTTTTTTTTTTAAGTTAATAAGTACTATGAGAAAAACTAAAGCTTAAAATTATAACTACATAACTTCCTAAGGAAAAAAATAAAATCCCAAATTCTATTATTTTTCTGTCTGGTTACTGTAAAACTTAAAAGAAATTTCACATCAACATGTCAAGAATTAAAACTGAGTCTGGAACAAGTTCATTTAAAAATATTTTTCTGCTACCAAAATAGTCATATTACTACTCTGTTTTACAGAAATTCACTTGCATAAAAAGATCACTGTTTGGGTGATAGCACCACACACAACGGAATAAGACGAGAAACAAGTGCTGAGACAGATGATTACAGCTATACCCACTCCTGCCTGCAGTGTCACAGTTACCAGCAGCTGGCTTGCTTATCACTGAAAATAAAATATGAAATCTCACTATTCGGTTTCCACTTCTAATTTGTCTTCACTTCTTCAGCTTCGCTGGTTTAATACAGATACTATCCAGAAAAAAAAAAATGCAGCTAGAGCTCTCAAAATGTTGCTCAGAGGTTGACAATTCTTTCTGTGTTTGAGGAAAAAAAAAAACAACAGTCTGCATTAATAGCAAAGCTGCAGTACATTTACATGCAATGAGTCAGACCACAAGAGACAATAGGACTCTTGGTACTAGAATACAGTTTGATTAATCCAGATATTCCATATAAGAAAAGAAACAATTAGCTTAATTCCCATCGACAGCACAGGAAAGGCAGAGTGTTCATTCTTCTTCCATCAGGCAGTGGTCTGTGGCTGCTCCAGCAAAAGGGCACAGGCACCAAGCAGAAATGGTGTTAGCGGAGAATCCTAATGGAGCAGGCAGGCTAGAAGGCATTTGAGCTCAAATTACGGCTTCAGGCTTTTCATTTTTAAAAAAGAGAGGGAGAGAACTCCAGTAGTTTATCATTCCAGTGTTTTCTTTGATCTCCACATGAATGCAGCTTCCATCAAAGAGTCTTCATTCAGAGGAAAAAACAGCAGACTGTGCATCTTCTCTGAGCCAACTACTTTATTCAATCATCTGCCTCCGTGC